ACGCTAAAAAATTCACAGATTTTCCCGTTTTTACCGCTGGCTTTCCAAAACGTTACATATGGGTATATTTTAAAAATGTTGGTCGATTTATAGTATACTACAAAAGCTAATTTTGTGTTACTGAACATGCTCTAAAACTTTTAATTTTAGACCTACGTCTAAAACTTTGATAGATTTAGAAATCTCATAAAGTTTCAATAAACTTGCAAAAAAAGCGTTTTGCTTAATTTTGACCCCCCCCCCAAAAAAAAAAAAAAAAACTTTTCCGTGTGATGTGGGAAAAAAATGCCACTGAGCTTCTATACCAGTGCTAGAGTAATAATTAGTTTTTGCTCAGCACATCCATCAAGAAAATAAAAGATTTTTTTGAATTGAAGGCAATATCTCCCTTAAATAGGAAATGAGCTTGCATTAAAATGCATATACAGTTACAGTACTATGATTTAGTTAATTACTTATCATAGCAATACTTCGTGACTGTGTGGATTAAGTACTTTCATCTGTTGAAACATTTGATCTATGAATTTTAAACATATCATAATCATAAACAGTATTTTAGATTTTATAAACTACATCAGATGAATTTGAAAATTTGATGTTTTTTGGCGTAGATCTAAAATTTTAAGTTTTAGAGCATGTTCAGTAACACAAAATTAGACTTTTGTAGTACACTATAAATCCACCAACATTTTAAAATGGCAAAAAACACCAAAAAAAAAAATGTTTTCTTCAAATTTGTCGCTGTTCATGACCTTAATAACTAGAATTTTAAGTTATAGAAAAATGCATTTTTTGTCAAAATGTGTATTCCTTCTTCATGGAATGACAATGGTCGGATTTTTGGTAATGACAATTTGATAATGTCAATTTCGTAAAGTGACAATTTGGTAACGACAAATTCATCTGTTGAAACATTTGATCTATGAATTTTAAACATATCATAATCATAAACAGTATTTTAGATTTTATAAACTACATCAGATGAATTTGAAAATTTGATGTTTTTTGGCGTAGATCTAAAATTTAAAGTTTTAGAGCATGTTCAGTGACACAAAATTAGACTTTTGTAGTATACTATAAATCCACCAACATTTTAAAATGGCAAAAAACACCCCAAAAAAAAATTTTTCTTCAAATTTGTCGCTGTTCATGACCTTAATAACTAGAATTTTAAGTTACAGAAAAATGCATTTTTTGTCAAAAGGTGTATTCCTTCTTCATGGAATGACAATGGTCGGATTTTTGGTAATGACAATTTGATAATGTCAATTTCGTAAAGTGACAATTTGGTAACGACAATATGGTAAGTACACAAAAGTGACAATTTGGTAACGACATAAAAGTAACGTTGGTAAAGTGAAAACTTTTATAAAAAAGTATACGTATTTGGAATATTAATAAATAGTTAATTATCTTATACTGGGTTAGGTGAAGACTATCTGTGGGCCGAGCGCTTCGGCCTCTTAAATGTGAAATGTTGATTTCAGCTGATTATTATTTTAAGCTTCTAATTTGGCATTTTTCTTTAAATTTTGTAACTGTAAAAGCCTGTTCAAGCCGCAGAACTCGGCTTAGAAGTAGTCGCGGCTATACCATCCTAGCCGCAGCGCTCGGTCCCAAAATTTTCTTATCCGAACCTAACCAGAATCATGTGAGAGACAGCAAATTATTCAGCATTTAAGAGGCCGCAGCCTTTAGTCCATCCTAGCCGCAGCGCTCGGCCCCCTAGCCACCCGGCCCAGAAACTGTATTTACCTAACCTAACCCAACATAATGTAACATTTTGCTATTTGACGTTTTGTTTTTTAATTCTATTTAATCTAAACCTAATTCAATTACACATTGTAAACATAATTATGTTTTATCAATTATTCATAAATCCCAAGTACAGTCTATTGTGTTTTGTTTGATCATTGAAAAAGATTTTTTTTTTAAATAACACATTTAATGTACTAGAAGTTAACAAAAGTTACTTAGACTATTAAGGAACTTAAAGCTAGCAACAAACCAATCCCTACATCTGTGCAACCTGATATCGTAGAACTTATATGTAGTCACCAAATAGTCACTTTTATGTAGTTACATACCTGGTTGTCATTTTTTTGTAGTTACAAAATTGTCACTTTACGTAGTTCCAAATCGTCATTTTTATGAAGCAATCTAATTGGCATTACCAAATTGTCACTTTATTGTACTTTCCAAATTGTCACATTTTTTAGTTACCAAATTGTCACTTTTATATCGTTCAAATTTTCACTTTTATGTACTTACCAAATTGTCATTTCCAAATTGTCGTTACAAAATGTTCACCTTACCAAGTTGGCATTACCAAATTATCACCTTACCAAGTTGGCATTGCCAAATTGTCATTACCAAATTGGCATTACCAAATTGTCCTTACCGAATTGATGTTACCAAAAATCCGCCCGTCGGAATAACCCGTATCAAAGTTGAAAATTTTGACTTGTCAAACCTCTTACCTGAGGTCCTGTGAGGTTATATTTCGGCTTAGTCGTGGTATTCATCGTTAGATACAAACAAACAGACACCCAGACGAGCCAGATATTTCTGTTGAATGAACTGCCTGCTAGAACGAGGGAAAACCTGATGAGAAAAAGAAGTTTTACTCCGCCTGTGCAGTAGGCAAGATCATAAATCAGAAATTTTCTTAATTTTTTAATCATTTATTTAAATTATAAGTGAAGATTTCTCAAAACCTGATAACATTTTTTTTGAGGATTAAAAATGAAGAGTAAAGTACATTTCCATAATTATACACTTGATGTGTGTAATTATTATGAAGGTTCACTTCATTCATTGACCTACCGATCAAAATGGGGCAACAAACGAGTTTTCATGTAAAGTAGCAATATTGCGCAAAATGAATGTTTCTAAAACTTTTATTAAAGATATTTATTCTTAGGACTGATACGTGAGATAAGTGATATAAGTTCTTATTAAAATTTTTCGAGTTTTTAAGCTAAGCTAAGCTAAGATTTTTATTTCAAGTGCCAAGGTCTCCAGGCTTATAATAACAAACAAAATTCCCGCTGTCTTCAGAATATTAAAATTCGCCTCTAGATAAACCGATAAGCTAAAAATAAATGGGGTCATGTGCTTCTAAATAGGCAAACAAATTGAAGTATGGAATTTGATGATGTCCGGATATAAAAATTACTTTTATTTAAAATGAAAATATAATATGCTAAAATTTATTATGAAGGTGCACTTTACTCTATCAAAAATTGTATTTGTTTTTATTGATCTATCTGCTTAGTATTGCAAGCTGCTGCTATTCTCATTGCTTGTTATGGTACCATTGCAATTTACAGAATACCTTTTGCAATTAGTTCTGTCTTCATTGTAATTGCATCCCATCAACTCGTGGCACCGTTAGGTAAATTAAATATTCAAAACGGGGATGATGACTTAAAAAAATTGACAGTTTTTTAGGTTAAGGAGCCATCGATATTATTTTAATGAGCCTCTGCATATAAAAGGGGTATTGTCCTTTTTCCAGATGATATTTTGTATTTCTCAAATCATTTATAACTGTTAGTTTAAATTAACCATATTTTACGTATCAGATGTTATTGTTGAAGTGGGGAGGGGGTTTAGGAGGAGTCTTGATAAGTGTAATACTTAGGATTCATTTAATTATATTTTGATGAATAATGATATTACTTTAAGGACTGAAAGCGTAAGTGACCCTATACAGTATACATGCAAGGATGTCAATGCCGTATACACAACAGTACTCTGAAAAGCTTTGTCTGATAAAGTACGAACTAGATATTAATGGTTTAAATTTTGAAAATTGATTATATTTAACTTCGGTTTCTTTACAAAAGCGTCTTTAGCATTTCACTGCAGGAAAACATACAGGAGTTACTAGAATTAAACACTTTTAAACCTAGAAAAACAACAATATCTTTCACATTTTCGATCAGATAAAGGTTTCAAGGGTACCGTTACAAAGCGGTCATTGCCATCTTTGCATGGATGATAACTTGAAATTACAGTCAATTCAATGCTCAATCGGCCACCGAGACTAAAATACGCCTATTTTTTCAGTTGAAGATTCTAATGATCCAGAGAGTGAGGAGACAGAAGAATTTGTTGAAAATATATCAAAGGTTGAAGATTTATTACAAACTTATCACTCCCCTTGAAATTTTATAACATCAATTTCATAACTTGTTATATCAGCATAGATCGAAACTTCGGTTTGGATATTGTCAATCTTGAACGCTTAATCTCGATATCCATATGTGGGCACTTCAGATATAAGGATCAATGCTTGATCCCTGAATTAAAGTTATCTGTGAAGATGTTATATCGGGTCGGGATATCGGAGAAGAATTAGATTCATCCGAAATCTGCGTAATAAGGAGATAAATGCTTGATCCTAAGATTTACAATACAAACGTTCTGACTTCTGGATTAAAATATATTATATGTATACACTGATACAGTTTTTTATTGTATATTTTAACCCTATCCCCTGTAGTTTTTTTTTACATAACTCAAAAAGTATTGGTCTGAGGCTGTTGAAATTTTCTGACTTTTCCTACAAACCCAAAGCCCTCCCTTTAGGCCTAAAACCGGGCTTTAATACTAACTGCCTGAGTCCTCAGGCACACTGCCTGAATGACTGCTTTTTCCTGTAATAAACTAAATCTTTCTTTTGACCCACTTTCAGTTGTCAGATTTTGATAAAATTTAGCTTTTTGGAAAGCCTATGACATAAGGAAACGGATTGCATAAGGTTTTCAAAAAGAAATTGCAAATTTTTTGCAAACAACCTGTCAAAAGAGATTTGCACATTTTTAGTTTTTCTTAATTAAACATCAGGTTATTTAAAATTTTGCAAAACTTTTTGCATTTTTGGACAATTTTTTTTGCAAACATTTTTACTATATAACTGGATTTTGCGATAAAAAATTCAATTTTTTCAAATTTGCAAATTTTTTTGCAGATTCTAAAAGTAATTTTTTTCTGTTAAGGATTCTTCATCTGGATCTGAATATGAGTATAAATACCAACTAAATGTAAACAAGAAGAAAATAAAAAAGAAGAAGTTTGAGATTCTTAAATCCTCAAGTCAAAACACAGACACAGGTAATATATTCAGTATTCAATACATATCCTGTATTGGCTAGAGTTGCCGCTTGGGAAAATACCCTTAGGAAGTTGTCGCTTTTTTTACAATTTCAATTGCTGATAGTTGATAATGAATTTTTTGAGGGGAAATAAATTATTGTTGGGTAAAAGCATCTACAACGGTGGGGCAAAAACTAGCCTTTTGAAGTCATCTTTTCTCATCTTTCCCACCAAAGCTTGCATTGAAAATCGTTCTTATAAATAAATGTTGTGAAAAACTTCTATTGCGCCCTCTTTTCTGCTCTATCCGCAGCGCTTGGTCCCTTTTGTAGTTAGTGGTGCCTTTAAAATTCTGACCTAACCGTATAGATTTTATGGGAGGGTACAGAATNGTTTTCATACAGAATGTTTTTGTTAGAGAAAATCACGTTTTTTACACTGTAGAAAGGAAGAACGGCGTAGCGTCTGCAATCCCTACTTTCATTATAAAAATTACATTTTTCTTTAAGCTTGAATTAACAAAGAAGGGATAATCTTAGGGATCTGTTTTCATCCGGGAATTATACACTCTGCTGTTATTAAATACTGCGTTAAATCTTTAAAAAAAGTTTCAATGTTTAAATACGATTATACATAGTATTAGAGTTCATATACAATTATACTAATGCAAATTTATATTTATATTGCAAACTTTGTATTTTGTTATGCAAGTAAATGTATTTTAATAATAATAATAAATATAATCATTCTGTAACTATTTCAGTTGAAGGTGCCATCTAGTGCCTCAGAAACTCAGGTAAGCAACCCTAGCCAGCATCTCCGGATAAACTAACTATACTCTCTTCCTGTCCTTAACAAGACAAGGTTTACATCGAACTGACATTTATTAGTAAAGATAATACTACTGCTCAGGCCGGCGTAGCGGTCCGCGCATTAATTAATACGAAAATATATTTACAAGGTAAGGTTTACTGAGATAGATATTTAATTTTATTACAAGCATATAATTAACATTTTATTAGTTCTGAAGCCAAAACTTTTAAATCAATTAAATAGCCCAAATTAAAAAACCCCGAACTCCGTGTTTAGAACGTAAACTTATTTATGAGCTTAATCTGTTTCTTATTTTATAGATAAATCATTAGCAGAAAGCAGGTTTTTGAGACTTCTTATTAAATCCAGATGCATCTATAAAATATCAGATATATATTTCTTTATTACCAAGCTCTTTGCCCATAAACATATAGTATATATGTCAGCTTTAGCTGACCAAACGGCTGGACCAAATTGGCTGACATTGTTTTTAGGGAACCCAAGGGTAACTGTGCGGGTAACATAGGTTTTTAAAATTCGAATCAGGCAAGGCCGGGCACTTTAGGTAGTAATATATATATATATTTCTATTATCTAATGTAATTATATTACAGGGTTTGGAGAGGAGGGTGTGGATTGGGAGTTAGAACAAGAGCTGGAGAACGGTGATAAAAAGAAAAACTAGAAAAATATAGAAAAGAAACACAAGAATAATATAGAAAAGAAACACAAGACTAATAGAATAGACAACACAAAAATAACAAAAATAATGTAAAAGTAGTTTCTCAAGAATAATACAGAATAGTTTAAACACTGAGATAGTATGATAATCTTCGGATGGAAAAAATGCATTAATAATAATTAGGGTTTCCAATTTGAATTTGGAATTAAGAGGAATTGCTGCTTCGAAAACCCTAATTAACGAATCCCATCACGTCATATTTTACTCCTAAGAATATCCTCACAGAATCTTTGGAAGAAATTTCAGTTTTCAAATTGTTTGGGTTTTTAAAGTCTAAAACCATTTGTCATGGGGTTACATTCTATTAATAAAGTCACTTGTGGCTCATTTTGAGAGAAATATTTTTATGATTTGTATTTTTAATGAAGTTAAACGTTTGGAAAATTTAAAATAGTACTGTAGATAACTTTTTCCGCTTACAACACTCCTAAGAATACGTAAACCCATGTCAGATGTACTAATCATACTTGTTTAGGGTGCTTAGATTTTAGAAGTGTGTTGATTATTTTTTGAGTGCTAGGATCCGGGTCCATTTTTTTTCAATACTGATGCTCATCAAAAGCACTCCTATTATTTACAAGAATATTTGCATTCTGCAATGCAGAAGAATGTCACAATTGTATTTATTTGTTTCGTGTATAGTAACATGTGTATCTAAGAATTTTTTAATAATTTTGAAAGTTTTCTTAACTGAACATACAGTTTTGTTTGTTTAAAGGGACTTATTCTGCTTTTAAATGTTAATTTTTTTCTCGTTAATTCGAAAACCCCTGATTTAGATCTCATTCATTTCGAAACTGTGAAGAATACATTGTTGGAAATCTTTTTTGTTTAAATTTCAGAAATAGTAATTAATTGATTTGTTTAAGGGACTGTTAGTGTTATTTTATCCTATCCATGCAAATATTGAATTTTNAACATCAGATATGACTTTCATGGGTCGCGATCAAGAGCTAAAGTGATTAGCTTTCAGCCTATACCCCCTTTCATTTTTCCTTTACTGTCCCTTTAAGTAGCTAACCCGCAGTGGTGAATTTGGAATTTGCGTGGAAATTACTCTTTCAGTCCCTTTATTAGCGTTGAAAGGAGACAGAACTTCGAGGACGTCATTTTATATAGTTAAATAATAGTTTGATTACAACTATGGATGAATTTAAATATTTAATTAAAACTTGACACTGATAGTTATTAAAAATTTTTTGTTAAACATTATTATTATTAAACAGCCTTGGTTTAATTATTCCAAATGAATTGTTACATTTCTTCTAAACATTTCTAATTAACTTTTTGTATTCACTGTTTCTGTTAAAATCAGCATTTTCTTGCATTTAACTTGAAATATTTTTTTATTTTTTTCTCAAAATAAACACATTCCTTGGTTTAAAAAAGGTGGTTTTCTTTTAAAGTGTGGACCTTAAAAAATTGTGGAACAGGGTTTTTAATGAACTTTTAATTAATTAAGAAATTCCCTTTGGTTTCTATTTTGTTGTAAATTACCTTAAAACAATATCAGATGCATAGTACATACTCGTAAGCTAACCTCAATGTCACATTCCTACTGCACAGTGTTATGGTCTCACTGTAATTGATTCAATAATAATTGTGATCGACTTTTTTGCATTTTTTACTTTTAGTTTATAGGTTTTATTTTGTCTGGTTTGTTACTAATACCTTGGATGATACGGTTATGTGGCTTAATTTGGTTCGTTTTTCCCTAAGATTTTCTTCACGGTCAAAACAAGTTTCAGAAGAGCAAATGTTTATAAATTTCTTGATTCTAATCATTTGCTTGTATCTTAAACTACGCTATATTTCGACAGAAAAATATATGGGATAAGCGAATATGTTATAACGATCCTTTAGGGATCGTTTTACATCTTTTACTTTAAGAATGTTTCAAAGTTTAATGAGAGCAAACTCTAACGTAAATCGGTTTTGAAATCTTGGCATTTTTATCAAAAGTGTATACAGAGGATTTAAAGAATTTAAAGAATTTGAGCCAAATATGGTTGGTTCCATTTAAAATTGTAATAAATTGTTTCAAGATTTAAGCCGGCGCTCAATGGAAACCGGTTTTTGGGGGATTTGAGACTCGGCTAAAATTTATTAAATTCGGACACAGATGGCTTTAATAAAAGTGTTTAATTTAATTAATTCGTTATTGGAGTATCTATTAAGTTTACGGTCATCCTTCGGCCTCCTTGACGGTGAACCCCAGACTCTTGATATTGTCATGTTTTGTTTGATTTTTGGATATAGACGATGAAATAAAAAAAGTTGTGAACAATTACAATCAATCATGCGGACAAAGTAATAAGCATAAAGTTTTCATCCTTTGACATGTCACTATTTCGTGTGATGACCTCATCAATGTTTCATTAATAAGCTCAAACGTTTTTTTGGTTGCTATCTTTGTTCTTTCATTTGAAGATTTTTAAGTTTTTCATTACCCTTCAGGTCTACAAAACAACCCTTTCCATGCTATGTTCAATTTCTGGTTTCAATTATGAAATACCAGAATTCCAGGGCGTTTCGCGCACATCTTTAACTCCTAATTGTTGCACTGTCGTTTTTCATGGCACATTTTTTTCAGTTCAAACCTCCCCTAAGATTATGTGAGGTCCCACAAAAAAAATGCATCCGATTGGTTCATCCGTTTCAACGTTCATCGGTTACAAACAAACAGACATGCAAAGTATGTATGTAGATGATAAAAGCTTCAGAAGTTATTATGTGTGAAATGATTTTATTTTACTAGGAGCAGTACTAGAAAATATCTCCATCACTGACATTAAAAGTAACATTTGGATACAAGCCGGCCTTGATATGTGTTTTTGTCGACATTTTTTCACCAATTAGTCTTTTAAGCTAATTTTACTAAGATTATTCGGGTTTTAACAATCGTATGTTAGCTTTTGTTGGCTTTGTTAGAGTTTTACTAGCTTGTCTTTTATTTACACCTTAAATTATAATTTTAATTGAAAATAATACCTAGATGTTATTGTGTTGGTGTACCCGTACACTACACGAGTGAGAAACAGGTTTCGCGGATTTCCGAACAAGTTCGTGGATGATTTAATGGCAACAGCTGCAGGAATGGAGTTCTTATATTTTTAAAATGATTTTTAAATCTACTAGCCTTTTAATACCTGTTGCACTCCTAGTCACAATTTTAACATCAAGATGTTAATCGAAATGTGACTATTTTCCTTGTTCTCCAAAAAAAACTAATTTTTGCGGATTTTCTTGTTAAAGTTAGTGGATGTGTAAAAAAAAATTAAGAATGTCGATAACATTTTTCAGACAAAATACGCTCAATTTTATTTTCAATAATTCCCTCCCTAGGGTAGACTTAAAGGGACTGGACATATAACTTTAAGTGACACCTTTTTAAAAGAGGCATCATGCACAATTAGAAACGGAAGTCCTGAAACTTTTATCTGATTAAACATTTATTGATGACTAGCTGAAGGGCCTGGCGTTGCCCGTAGAAAAAAAGAAAAAAAATGTTGAGAATTTTTTTTAGCCTTAAACACCCCCCTGCCACCCATGAGTGTCCACGAAAAGTTTCAGCCCCTTCGGTACAACCGTTTGGCCGGCTATAGGCAACATATACATATATATACACGAATGTCTTGTTTTATTATATAGATAATGTCGCTTTTCTTTCTGGAAAAGAGTTTAATCCTGATAATTTCTTCATATTCTCTGGAGCAAGAAACGTGTGTGTAATTGAAATAGGGAACCAACAAATTTTAAACATGAATAACTAATGCTTAATAAGACAAAACTTCCAAGGTTACTATTAAAAACTTTGTTCTTAAAGTGTAACCAAATGCATTTGCTTTCTCGTGCATAAAATCAAAATTTGAAGAGCTTCAAGGTCACAAAGTTATTCCAGTAATGTTGCACTAATTTGAACTTTTTCTCTCCACTGGAGTGTGAAGCAAACCCTTTTGTTGCATGTTTTAAAGCTAAATTTCTTCTTTACAGGGTGTCCCAAGAAACACGACAGTTGGTAAATAGTTTTGAATGTCGTCTTCCATACGCTGTATTAAATATTAAAGGCCGTTTGCAGTTTATTTCGTTTAAAAAATCTTTTGCTCAAATATATTTTACTTAATTTTTATAATATAATATGACCCCTATATTATATTTTTATTATTGTCTTTGTTATTAAACAATTTAACACATTATGGAAGAAGACATTCTAAACTATTTACCAACTGTCATGTTTCGTGGCACACCCTGTAGCTCCTCAGAAAAAAAATCATTAAACATTTTTAATTCATTATAATGTCTAATGAAAACTTTATTACTCCTGGCTATGCAGAAGGTGTTCTGGGGTTTATATCTATCTTTAGCGTCTGTTGGTGCGTAGAGGATTTGGCTAAAATACAAATAGGTAAAGAGAAAACATGAAAAAATTATGTTTCCCGGATTCGTTAGACATTTTCTAACTGCGACTTCACAAAATTAAATAATTTAAGATAGAAATATTTTAAGATTACCTATGTAAAGTCTGATTGGCCATAAGCCTTCCCTGGGGCCACGTGAGGTCACACACAAAATTTGGGCCTGATCGGTTCAGCCGTTTTGACGGTTATTAGATACAACAAACAGACACCCAGACAGACAAGCCAAATTTATATATATATAGATATAGATGACTTCCGTAGAGCTGATTTTAGTTTTAAAATGAAACCCTGTCCGTCATGTGCCATACGAAACTTTTTCCATTTTTTGATCCTAACTTAATATTTTCATTTAGCGGAAACTAAACAATTTAACTTTTTTGTAAAATATTTTGTCCGCTTGTTCACCAGTTTTCAGTGACACTTTTAATGAAGGTGTAAAATATATTTTTCTAAGAAATTTCACAAAATTAGATGAAAGAAGTTTAACAATTTTAAACAAATCACCCGGACTTTTTATTCATGGTCTCATTTTCAGAGTAAAACTAGCTCCAAGGAATAGTTTACATCATATATTTTAAAAATTTTTTTTTATTTTTTTACTTACAGCTGTTACTGCAGCTACACCTCTACCTCTAGGTAAAATTCATATATTTTAATAAAATTTTCTTTATTTTTAATTTTACATAAAAGGTATTATTGAAATGTAAATCTTTGAAACTATACCCGTGTTGCATACAGTAGTCGTCTATCAGTACAATAAAGATGACTTTTGATTTATATAAAGATAAATAGCACAAATACGCATAACATGGAAACAAAAAGAAGCTGCCGATTTAATAAGCTTCTCATTGATTACTTGTAAGCTTGTAATTCGAAAAATTATTGAAAATTATTAAAGGAACAACTAATTAAATATTAAAAAAATGAATTAAAGACTAAATTATGAACAAAAAATGAAAAAAGAATAATTGAAAATGAATGAATTTTTTTTAAAAGCAACGAAATAAATTAAGAAATAAATAAATGGTAAGATGAATATATGAATAAATGAATGCTAAGATGATTATATGAATAAATAAATGGTAAAATGAATATATGAAAAAATAGATGAAGATATGAATAAATGAATGGTAATATGAACATATGAATAAATGAAAATTAAGATGAATATATGAATAAATGAATAACTAGAAGATGAATATATGAATAAATAGATGGTAAAATTAACATATGAATAAATAGATGAAGATATGAATAAATGAATGGTAATATGAATATATGATTAAAGGAATGGTAAGATGAATATATGAATAAATGTATGACTAAAAGATGCATATATGAATGAATGAATGGTAATATGAATATATGAATAAATGATTGGTAGGATGAATATATGAATAAATGAATGACTAGAAGGTGAATATATGAATAAAAAATGTCAAAATGAATAAATGAATGAATGAATGACTAGAAGATTAATAGTGAATTAATAATGAATAAATAAATGGTAAGATGAATATATGAATAAATGAATGGCTAAAAGATGAATATATGAATAAATATATGAATGAATAGGTGAATATATGAATAAATGAATGAATAGAAGATGAATATATGACTAAATGAATGCTAAGATGAATATATGAATAAATGAATGACTAGAAGATGAATATATGAATAAATGAATGGTAATATGAATATATGAATAAATGAATGGTAGGATGAATATATGAATAAGTGAATGACTAGTAGATGAATAGGTGAATGAATGACTGACTAGAGGATGAATATATGAATAAATGAATGACTAGAAGATGAATTTATGAATAAATGAATGACTAGAAGATGAATATATGAATAAATGAATGGCTAGAAGATGAATATATGAATAAATAGATGAATATATATATAAATATATGAATATATGAATAAATGAATGACTAGAAGATGAATATATGACTAAATGAATGGCTAGAAGATGAATATATGAATAAATAGATGAATATATAAATGAATAGATGAATATATGAATAAATGAATGACTAGAAGATGAATATATGAATAAATGAATGATAAGATATATATATGAATAAATGAATGACTAGAAGATGAATATTTGCCTGAAAACCATCCTCTTCGAAAACTAAGAATCAGAGATAACCCTGCAGTGGACGCTCTCCCAGGAACAATAGGTATTTTTTTAAAAGTACAATAAATATTTTCGTTTTCAAGAACAGAAATTTTGTATTTTTCATTCTAATGTTTACAGTTTAACCCTGAATTTCGGTGATTATGGAATGCTCTTGTATTAGTTTTTTAATTGAACAATTACTTGGAGCTCTATAAAACTGTTACAACATAATTTCTGAGAAGTCATAATCTATGGTCATCGAATATTTTTCGACGCATTCGTATAAAAATCGATGATTTTAGGTTGTAATATCTGAATGATTTGTTTAGAAATAAATTGATTATTTTACGATACTAGCCGTATATAGCAACTTTCTAAATTTGTATGGACGCTACGTTCTTCAGTAAAACGTTTTTGACCATTTTCTCCTTATAGACGCAACAGATAGAAGTATAAGATTAGTAGCGATCAAAAGCGATTATTTTTCCCCGTAAGCCTATACCACCTTTAATTTTTCACGAACACTCCCTTTATTGAATTTTGATCACTGGTTCAAATCCCTCCTTAATCTTTAACTTTAAATCGTTGGTTCATGTTTGAATCAAAGATAGTTCAGCGACCTAGCTAAAATTTATCAAATTCGGTCCCAGGTTGCAAAGATAGAGGAAATAGAAAATCAGAGTTCGCAATTGAGTCGTTGCCTGCACAAATTATAATTTTCTAATCCCAATATCTTTGCAACCCAATGTTGTAGACCTTAGATATTTAAAACTATTATTTATGTTCAATTAAATACTCCAAGTCTGAAAAATCAAAGCTTTACACCATAAGGTTGCAAAGATATAGGGATTAGAAAATTTGAGTTTGTGGCAAAGACTCAATTTATTTAGGAAAAGAAGTTACAGTGCTTTCTGGACTATTCATAAATCTTCAAAAACTAATAAGGAAACCAAATAAAGCTACCAAAAAAAAGTTTCAGAAAAAATTTAAAAAGGGCCTGGTCTAAAAAGCATAATTCTATAATTCCTAAAGTAAACGGTAAATCAACCACGAGACCTGGGAAGTAATCTTTGATATTATTAATGCTTTTATTAACGCTTTGGTTTATGAAGAGGTGTAGTTTACTTTCATTGGAAGTTCTATCATGATCTGTTCAGCACACTACAGCTGGGGGTCATCTTCTCCATATACATAATCTATCCTGGCTCTCTAGGCACATAATTGTATTTGAAGAAAGTTTCTGCATACTGTTTTTAGAAAGTGTTATTACTTAATTTTGAAAGAGTAATAAGAATCAAGGCGTGACAGTCAAGGGTAATGTTTTTTTACTTTTAATGTTTTTAAACTACGAGATTTTCACCTTGGCGAAAATTTGGTATAGCTTAAAAATTCTAATATACTTTTTTAATGTCTTTGACTTTTTTGAAGCCTTTAAAAGGTCAAAATCAAAAAAGAAAAAATATGTTGCCAAAACCAGTTTATTTACTTATCATAAGCATCCAAATGTTAAGACTTTATCATAAGCATGAATATGTACAAATTCTAAAGGCTCATCTCTGACTGGATTTTTTTCTTTCAATCTTTTATGGATTTTAAGTTTTTTAATTGAATATTTGTGATCAGAGTTCTTCAGATTCTTGAGGAACCCAAGAAGATCTGGATCATCAACAGTAGCATTCTCTTCTGCTAAGAAATCTGAATCAATGGCTTCCAGTACCACCAAAAAAGATTCTAAGGTATTGCTGAAGAAAATTTCCGTCATAAATTAAATTTAGTTCAAAACTCATTTATTTATTTCTGAAAAACTTGCCAATATGTTTCTGACTAGACTCTAGAATATTTAATGTATTTTTAAACCTCTTCTTCAACCATGTGACATAGATATTGTTATATTTTTAAACCTCTTCTTCAACCATGTGACATAGATATTGTTATATTTTTAAACCTCTTCTTCAACCACGAGATATAGATATTGTTATATTTTTAAACCTCTTCTTCAACCACGAGTCATACATATTGTTATATTTTTAAACCTCTTCTTCAACCATGTGACATAGATATTGTTATATTTTTAAACCTCTTCTTCAACCACGAGTCATACATATTGTTATATTTTTAAACCTCTTCTTCAACCACGAGACCTAGATATTGTTATATTTTTAAACCTCTTCTTCAACCATGAGACCTAGATATTGTTGTATTTTGTATTTGTAGATTTTGTATTCTGTTAAATTCCTCCAGGTCTCCTTTTGCATTGCAGGGAAACCCGAATAGAAAATGATCAATGTTTACCTGGACAAGGCAGGATATCTTGTTCATCCTTGAAAAGACATGGGTTTTGAGAGTAATTGGACATTCCACTCGATTATTTATAATAGAGAATAACTTATTGCGTCGTTACTTTAGATTCAAGCCGACTCCGAACCAAGCACTGTTGAGTCAGGTTCAAGAAGATCTAAAGTGTCAATGGTGGTTGGTTTAGTGTTTCTTTTTGCTGCTTCTATCACTTCAACTATTAACAAAATAGGTATCTAGCAGTAGTTTAAACATTAAACTTAAACCTTTGTTAAGTTGTTATAATTTAAATTTAGATTATTTTCATTGTTTTGAAGGGAATAACGAAACCTAGAAGATTTAATCTTTAACAATGATTTAGTGCGGGAAGTATCTGAGATGCTTGAGGAAAGGCAGAAAAGAAAAGCTGAAGAAAGTATTCCAATCAGAGAATTCCCAGAACCAGAGATAACCCAAAATTTAACAAAGGAAGTGAAAATCTCTCAAACTGTGCCTGGTCCTGTTTGCAAAAATGAGACACAAGGTAATTGTGAGTTGTGAACAAAGAATGAATTTATATCAGTAAATTTACTACAGAAAATTCAAAAATTTCTATTGAACATTATTATCAATTCTAACTTTTAAGAATGAATCATGTTTTTGTTTTTGCTTCTCTACAAAAGAAACAACAGAGACATTAAATTAAACACTTTATACGATGGGAGAAAAACTTTGACTTCCACATTATTGATTAGACTAAGGTTCCAAGTGTTCCACTGTCCAAAAACTATATCTTGAGTCAGTGTACTGTAAATTACTGCAGAATGAACTAAAAGTCATGTTGGTGCCGTTGTGAAACAAGCATCCTCCGCTCTATTTGAAATTGAGGGTAACTTGAAGCTATCAAGATCTAAACATTCTCAAATTCCTTTTTATGCATTATACCAAAAGAATCCTTTATTGAGTTCTTTGATTTCATATTTATTTCAGATTACAGCTTGCCAAGAAATCCAGAAACTAGAGATAGTGTAGAAGCTCCTACACTCAAAATAAAGCGTAGAAACACTTTGAAGAATATGAAATGTGACACTAACAAAGGTATTATATTCAAGATGTTTTCACAAGTAAAAATATAGATACAAAATATTTAAGAACGCCCTCTTGATATCCTTAAACGAGATATGAGATCTGAAATATCCATGGAGAAAAGGATGACTGAAACAGAGGTTTTGGCAGAGACTCCTAAAAAAGAAGTGATTGCTGAGCCGGTCATTGTTTCAGGTCCTTGGATCCAGGTAATGTTTCAGGCCCTTGAATCCAGGTAATGTTTCAGGTCCTTGGATCCAGGTAATGTTTCAGGTCCTTGGATCCAGGTAATGTTTCAGGTCCTTGGATCCAGGTAATGTTTCAGGTCCTTGGATCCAGGAAATGTTTTCTTTAATCAATTTAACATCTCATAGACATCCAAGCTATTCAAATTGCAGGGGGGGGGGGGTATATTTTTATACATCTAGAATAACTTTTTTATAGGAGAGAGAGTAAAATGTCATAATATATTGTTGTTGAATAAATTTAGTTCAAAATGCAAGTTCTGAATTGAATAATTGTCTGAATGAAAACCTACGTCACGGGTTAATCAAGATATGATTTAATGTTATTATTTTTATCCCATTTCTTATTGCTTACTTATAGGAAAATGCTTTTGTGCCAGGATACAAGGAAAAAGAAGAAAATAAGTAAGACATTTTAAAAATGTAGGTCCTGGATATGGGAACTATTTCATTCAGATTTTTTTAAGTGTGTTTGAGAAGTCTGGAGTATATGAACGGGAGAAAACTCCTCCAAAACCTAAAACATTATTTGAGGCTGCTATACCAACCTCTTCGGTGTTTGTAAGGGATCCGGAAAAAGTATGTTTTTTATCTATTTTTAGCAATTTTAAAACTCTACTCCATGTTATCCTTTTTTTTGTAGGAAATATTTGATGTGAGGGCCAGGAATTCTCCTTCACCAAGGAACTCCAGGAATTTTAAAGATACTCAGGTATTTTTTAAACTTGATGTTTTTAAGAAATAATGCAAAAATAATTCACAAATCATATTTTTTGGTAAAATATTTTCCAGATTGACGAACCTGGACAACTCGCATTGGCGGGAAATATTCACATGTCTATGTATAATATACATGCGGCATGTGAACATGAGGAAGACAACAGAGAAGAATTAAGGTAAAATTTGATACGTGTATGGATCATATGGGTAGGGTAATTACATAGAGAATAGAATATATATTCTATTCTCTATTGGTATATATAGTCAAGCACTAGACATTAATTTACCATAAAATATGTAGCATGAGTTTGTCCAAAGACTCATTTCCTTTGATAATTCAATTTTAACTCTACAAGTAATACTATAGGCGATCAAAGCTAGTAGACTGTGGGTGGGTGGTAATTCATTATCCAAACTTTAATTTGGTTAAAGAACAAAATAAAAATTTGTGGTCAGAGCTATAGTAATATCCTCATACACATAAATAATGAACACTATCATTTTTAGCAAGCAGTGGTTTCTTGAATAAGAAAATGTATTTTTAGATTTGAGAGTCCTAATCCCACAACACAATATAGAAACACAGATCTAGAAGATATGGACAGTGTTCACATCATTTCTTCACAAAGACCCCTGGCTGTTAGGGAGGGGTATTTATTTTCCCTTTTACTAAAACTACTGATGCTATTTGTTTGTTTATTGCTGCATGTTATGGGAAAAAAACCTCAATTATTGATTTTATGACTTTAAAATTTTTATTTCACTTATAAAGGATTGGATGATTTTAGAAAATATACCCCCCATTCTTTCAGGAGCTGTCAGTATGAAAAAAGAACGAAGTCTCCAGATTTTAAAGAAAAATACTCAGTCAAAAATGAAATTGCCCAGCTAAGGTATATTTGATAAAATTTTTTCACATTGGTTAAATGTTTAACACTTTTTATAAAAGGCAAACTGTAAGAGATGAACTTATCAGCATTCGCTCAGACGAACCAGATGAGGCGATCTCTTTGGGAGAATCAGGTTTGAATTAGTTTTAAATTTTTTTTACAACACTTAGAGTGAGATATGGATCAAATGTGATTAACATATATTCAAGAAAACATGTAAATATAAATATAGAACAAAGACTGTGACTGGAAACAATCTCACATAATTTTCACTCACTTTTATTTTTTTATATTTTCAAATTGTAGATGATGAGTATGAGAGGATTATTGTGATGAAATATGAAAAAGAACTGGAATCTAAATTTGGCAGGAAGAGGTAATAAAACAAAATAAAAAAATTTTAACAATTATTTATTAAATTCTACTGTGTTTTTCCCCTTTAGAGAAACAGAGGTGAAGAATAATGTTCCAAGAAGAAAGCATTCAAGGGAAGAAAGAAAATTAACATTACATTTAGATACAGTTAAACCCTAAATGAGCCAGACATCGAAAGAATTTATCAAATGTCGTCTCGGCAATTTTGCAATAGGTTTTATACTTTTTTACGTAAATCTCAGTATTTGCGAAAATAAATATATAGCCATAGCCAGTTTTAAAGAGTTCCATATAAACATTTAATTAAAAAACTAAATATCTGCAGTATTCCATTATCAGAAAGTGAAGAATATGACATTTGACGAATTCAATCGATGTCTGGCTTATTTAGGGTTTAACTGTATTTCTTTTCAAAATCAAATACACTTTCATTTATTCATTTTTGTAAAATCTTATTTCAACATTTTATTTTGCTCTAAGAGGAAGAATAGTCCCAGCAGTAGAAAACAAAGGTAAAACTCAAACTGACATTTTTTGCTTTAGAACTATGGGTAGAAATTAGCTCTCACACTATTAATAAGATTAGGGTTTCAAGGGTACTGTTTGAATCAGGCATGCCCCTTTTCAGACTTTAATTGTAGGGTCACATGTAATTACGATGACAGAACTTTTATTTATCTTATTTATCTGTCTTTTTCTAAAACTTCTCATCAAACATTTACAATGGTTTTAATATTGCATTCCTTGTAGTTTAACATGCTATCTCCGGTTGTCATTTTATTGTCCTTTTAAAGTCAGTAAACTATCATAAGGAAATTATTAGCTTGATATTTTTTCAGTAGATGGGTTCCAGGACTCCTCCCCAGAGAAGGATTGGGAGTTATTAGCTTGATATTTTTTCAGTAGAGGGGTTCCAGGACTCCTCTCCAGAGAAGGATTGGGAGTTTTTGGACAGAGAAGATTTAAGTAAGTTAAAAACTTTTGAAAATTTGAAGAAAACAACTTTTTTATTATCTGTTCTGATTTGTCAGGTTCAGATGAGGAGGTACACGAGTCTGAAGGAAAAGCTACGAGCTTTAACCAGGTAAAATTCTATATTTATACTTTTCCGTTGTCTGGAAATATTCCATGGGTCTTATTTAAATGATTGTGTTCATCATCACAAACAAAGTGTAAGATCTCCTAGAAAGTGTTTTGGTTTATCAAAGCTATTTATAGCTCGCATCAAAAGATTTCAGGCTTGCCTAATGTCGGGTTGATTTTTGACACTGGTTACTAGCAAATAGTTTAGAAACAAAATCTTTGTAAAGAGAGCGAGATAAATCTTTACACCTGAAAACTATTGTAGTTCATTTTTGACAAATTTCATTGTTCAAAACTTGTTTTGATTAACAAAGAATAAAATATTAGAGGAGCTCCCAAATGTTAGAGGATAACAGTAGAGTAGAATCAGAAAATTGTCAACAAAGTGATTCAAAAGAACGGAAGCAACATGACCCAAGAAACAGAAGAGAGTCTGAGTTGCGAAGCTCTAGTTTAAACAGAAACAGAAGCTCTAGTCTAAACAGAAACAGACATTCGGGAGAGTTCTCAAATTATTCCAGAGGTATTTTTATAAAATGATTTTCTTCATTTTTTTTACATGACTTGATAAGATATCTCTGAAAGGCAAAGCCAATATTCCTTTCCTGAAGCAAACACTATCAGATATAGTCAAAGAGAAAAGATTATAAATAGAGTGGAATTTAAACAATCCTTGGTATGAATTTTTTCAGTCCCTTTCAGTCTGAAAAGGAGTTCAAAGTGTACAATTCATGTAAATGTTATATAGCACAAATGTGTGAAGTACACCTGCAGTATGGAAACAGGACAACAAAATGGCCGTTTTGCACTTTTTTTCGAGTAAATTCCACTCTATTTATAATCTATTCTCTTTGGATATAGAACACTAGATGAATTTCATAGGTTCCGGACAAATTTCACCAGCAACATCCCTTCAAAATTTTCAGATAAGGTGACTAATATTGATTCACTTTTAAAAATATATATGCATACAAATTATCAGTATGTTCTGCTTTGCAGTCACTCTAGTGCAAAGCCAGAAGTTTGGAGCTCATAATGAAATCTACATCATTTTCTCTTTAATAAAAATAAAAAATATCACAAATCTATCAAAAATTGAGTAACACTTCTTTACAATACAAAGTATGTATTGTTTACTAGGAGGCGGGATTCCTTCCTGGATCTAAGCCTTGATGGCCCAAGAACTGCAGAGAGTCTAGGTAAACAACAACGACAACAACAACAACAACAACAACAACAACAACAACAACAACAAAAACAACAAAAACAACAAAAAATGTGCATGAGAACCCTTTAGCCATGCATCATAGTCAACTGAATTTATTAAACACTTTTCTTTCCAACAGTTACACATCACAACTTGATTCTTTTAGAAAAGAAAGAGAACTTTGGTTAACTTGAAATATTTCTGAAATCTGAATCATGTTCATGTATGGCAATCGTTGATTCAAAAAACGTTAAAAATGAAGTTGTCAGGGCATCTATGTAAGAAAGTCCAAGAAAAAAAAGTCTCGAATTGGTAGGACTTTATTTCCGGAGACTTTTAAATAAAAGGACTTTGGCTGCATGTTACCTAAGGAGTAAAGTGGGAGGGATGAAGCTATTATAAAACTCCCTGGGAACTATAGCAATTATACGGGTATGGGCTAAGACTTCTCCTACCTAAATACGCTCNAAGCCAAATTTTCATGCAAAGAATATAATTTAATTAAAGTTTACATTAAACTAGTCGTTAGTCAAGCTTAATTATAATTGACAACATTAAGTTCTGCAATTTCCTTGACTGTAGTCATGTTGTGTGTCTGTACCAAATGAGTGTGTGTAAGGTTTACCGAACTTGTCTATAAAGTAGTGTGACTGGCTTTCTCGTGGCAGACCAACGCCATTTCCTTTCCCTTTATTCCTATTCTTTGATTTTATGGCTGCAGAGAATTGATTTAAGTTATGTTAAGTCTTTTTTTTGTTACATCAATGTGGTTACCTTCTTACTAGTTTCTTTACATTTAGCACTAGACTTAAAGACTAAAATATAAAGACAGAATTCAGTTGGCAACCTTGAGATCGGTTTATTCAGTGAATCAAAGTCTATTCTTTATAACTTTATAACCTTGCAATCCTAAAACATACCTTCCATGGATTAATATCATATTTATTGAACAATCTTATTACCTTTATTCAGCTTAAATACTAGTAAATACATGGTTTTAAAAAAGCTCTTACTACCTCTGATTGGCGATGAACAAATTTTAACTGCTTTTTGGCCATTTTCTGCACAAATATCTCCACCAGTTGTTTTCATATCAAGATTGGTCACCAAAAGTAAATTGTTTTGGCCCTAGCGATATCTTTGAGTGTTTATAATAGCTTTATGTTGGTCTGATTATTTCAACAGTGGGGAGTTTTGTGTATTTTCAAAAAGCAGAACAATCTCTGTCAGCTTTTCTAATGGTTTTTTGAAACTATTACTTTGTTCCAATCTAGACATTGGATGAGACAGCAGCAACGTTGAAAAAAGCAATCTCTGAAAAGAATATTGCTCAAGCAACAACACAGGTACCAAAATATTAATTATGAAAAGCAACAGTTTTTATAATCACGGAAGTAAATAGCTTATTCCCTACAAATATTAATATAATAAAAAAGGAATTGAGTCTTTGCCACAAACTCTGATTTTCTAATCCCTATATCTTTGCAATCCAATATTGTAGATCTTATGTATTTCAAACTATGAAAAGTTTGAAATATCAAAGGGTTACACCATAAGTTTGAAAAGATATAGGGATTTGGATATAAAAATTTTCGGCTCAGACTCTATTTCTTTACCAAAAGTTCTCCAAAATTACAAGCATTTTATTTATTAATATGAAATGTGGCAATTTTTAAAAAAAATTTTATCATTTTATTTGTAATCAAAAATACTTTTGATAGTTTGATATTACAAACAAGACAACAGCATATTTTCTAACAGTGCAGTGTACTGTACTTCTGTAGGAGTTAACAGACACGCTTCATGATACTGCTGAACTACTTAGTAAGACCTCACAGGTTCTTTCCCATACTGCCAGATCTACAATAGAGCAGCTTGGTTAGTTTTTATCTAATTAAATTTCTTATTGGAGCTTTGTGGAGCCATAACTACATATATTTAATTGGTATCTTGCCACCCTTTAGTAGCACTACTTGTTAAATATTGTATCTATACAGAGGCTTACTGTTATAATTGTGTCTTTTTATATTATAATTTACTTACTTTACTTTCAACCCATTTCAGGTGCTCCCATATCCATGGCAAAAATTGTGAAAACTGTCCCTGAGCTTCAAATTAGGTAATTTTCTGAAGGCATGCTTTTCTTTATTTTTCAGATCTAAATTTTATTTTAGTTTTTTAATGAAATCGATAATTAATATCACAAACAATATATAAATGCACTAAAAATTGACTGCTTTATAACAGGAAAGGAAAGGATAGGAATGATGGAGAGGGAATTTCCAGAGCACAGGTAAGTTCTTAGGAAGGGACGATGAGTAATGAAACTTAAAGGGCGGAATCTCCATTTATAGAGGAGCATGTCTGTTAATGGATGAAGGGGATATCATAAAGTTGAAAAATGACTATTTTAAAGGACTCTTTTTAAATGGAGGGCCCCTTTCAGTGCATATTTACTTTTTTATACCTTTAATAATACATATTAGATATTAAATTTCTTTGTTTAAACCTTTGAATCAGCATGATCGAATTTAATTATTTAGGGTCCAGAACGATTAGATACCATCACTTCTCAGTCAGAAGTTGACCCTTCAGATACAGAAATAGATTTCCAACCGTCAAACCAGGTCTTTGAATTTGCTTTTCTTATGGTTTGATGATAAAAGACTGAAAAATTAAGCTTCAGCAAAGAAGTTGTGGTAATTTTTTTTTTTGTAAACAGACCTATGTTTCCAAGCACTGTTCCGGTAGTCCCAGTTCATTAACATTTTGCTGATTTAGAACCTTGAGAGAGTGAAAGATCAACAATCCTTTTCACCATTTTCTCCACTGGATCCTAGGTTTCTTACAGGATCTCCAGATACTAGACCCAGCTCAGCAGGTAGAAAATATAACAGAAGAGTTTGTTAACAAAAACCTTAACTTTTAAATTGTTACCGTAAGGGATGAGCTGTTTTTGAAAAAAATAATGATTAAAACAAAAATGAAGTGAAATTTCCGAATTTTAAATGACGTTAATAAAAAAAACGGTTGACGTCATTAACATTTGTTGAAATATCTTACCTTAACGCCATTTAGAATATTAAGATTTTTAACTTACTTTAATAAAAAAAAACAGAAAAGAAACAAATATTCCATTCTTACTTTTAAAGCTAACTGCTCCCGGAAACTTTTACCGGTTAGAAATAACTGTTAACGAAACGGCCAAAAAAAGTTGGACCATGCCCAGCTCTTTCTGCAGGTAGCAATCCCCAGATACTAGCCCTACATCTTCAAGGTTCTAATCCCCAGATACTAGAGCTACATCTTCAAGGTTCTAATCCCCAGATACTAGACCTACATCTTCAAGGTTCTAATCCCCAGATACTAGACCTACATCTTCAAGGTTCTAATCCCCAGATACTAGACCTACATTTTCAAGGTTCTAATCCCCAGATACTAACCTACATCTTCAAAGTTCTGATCCCTAGATACTAGACCTACATCTTCAAGGTTCTAATCCCCAGATACTAGACCTACATCTTCAAGGTTCTAATCCCCAGATACTTGACTCTGCAGGTAGCAATCTCTGGATACTTGACCCAGCTCTGCAGGTAGAAATCCCCAGATACTAGACCCTTAACCCCCACCCCCTTATCATATTGGAAATTAAAAGTTTTTTTCCATTTAGGAAGTGAAGTATCTTTTAAAACTCCGTTTGGAAAGACTGCAACCTCTGGTCCAGTGAGGGATATTTATGCGCAGATTAAACCAAACCAAACAAGCAGAAAAAGGGAAGAGAGTCAAAGTCCAGATAGAAGGTACTTTTATTTTTGCAACAAAACTTGCCCTTGTATACAATTTCTACAAATTCTCAAGTGTTTAATTATAAATAAAATCTAAAACTGAAAATAATAATCGTATTATTATTCTTTAAAAAAGAGGTTAATAATAAAAAGCATTTTAAAACAAATTTGTGGAAAATATTATACTTTATAATGTTTTAATGACATAAGACCAGATTTAAATAATAAAACTAATAGAATAAATTGAACTACTTATGGAACCTACTGGCAGTACGTAGTTCAGCTATATCTCACTATATTCATTAAATCTGGTCAATGGTTATCTTAAGGAAGATAAATATATTAGTATAGTTCGCTATGTTTGCTCCTTAGTAATGACCATACTTAATTCAGTTCTAGACCAGAGGCAAGAGGTCGTCATGACCACATCAACTTCTCCCAACCTCTAGTTAGGACTCAAAGTGCTGTTCCTATCCATAGGAACCTTAGGGCCGAGTCCATTGAACCAAAGAAGGGTAGGATGTAATTTTAAATCTTTCACACATGTTAGTCCACTTTTCGATTGCGCTTTCTCTCAAGTCCTTGAGCCTGTACCTCCGGTCCAATTCTCCCCATTTTCTTATTATTCTTACATTATTTATTATCTTTAACATTTTCCTTTGTCTTTTAAGAGAAAAATTTAAAACAACTAAAATTATCAGAGGCGTAATCAGAGGGGGGGTTTTGGGTGCTAAGCCCCCCCCCTTGGACCATTGAAATCTATTGATTTCAGAAATTCAGGGGGTTTTCAGACCCCACCGGGTACTGAGCACCCCCCCTAGACAAATTTCTAAATACGCCCCTGAAAATTATCCTTCATGCTTCAGTTTGTATGAACAAGGATAATTTGAATTAAAAGACTTTTGTAAGAAACCTTATTTGAATACTTTGTTTAAGAGCCTAGAGTGCGTAGTGCAAGTGTTACACCTGGTCAAACCTCCTTGATTAAACCATCCTCAGTAGTTGGAGGAAGTACGTCTTCTTTAAGGTATTCCTGTTGTCACATATTAGCATCAAACAGAATTCACACTACCTATAGCTAGAACTATGATTAACGCAGTTTATCAATACTTGTTTTTTAGAAATCTTTAAAATCTTGTCTAAATAAAATTATTTTCTAGTTCTAATCTATTTTAGAGGGTCTACCTATAGACTGCTTGGAGGGCGTTTAGTGGAAGGATTTCAAAGCAGGTAATTCAAAATACAATTAATTAGAAGTTTTTAGGAGGACATTGGGAGGAGGGGGGGGGAGGTGACAACAATAATGATAGAACTAATTACAAATTCCACTAGTTACAGCATAAGCCTTAACAAATGTTCTCATCATTGAAAAAGTAGATTTACATGGCAACGATTTGTTTAACTTTGAAAAGGGTTGGGCTTTTAAACTTAGTAATATATTATACATCATAAATGGTTTATACGATTCTTTTCACAGAAACATTTGATAGCCAATGATTGTAATCTTTTTACATAATAAAAATATGATTCATTCATTCATGTTGTTTTCTTCAACAAAACAGGTTTTGCAATATATCAACAGTAGCTAAATTTATATCACACAGGGTGTGCGTTTTATTTAGCTGTAATTTTCCTCTTGATTGCAAAAGCATTTGTTTTGCTGTGAACCTAGTTTTTACTAAATCTGCAGTAAATGCCCTTTTCCTTAACCGTTTCTCGAACATGTTTCTATCCAGGTACAACTCAAATTCTCTTGTCTTTCAATGTAAACACACGGCATACAATCCCTTGAACTACCAACGCCACTACCACTGGGCGCGATCTTCAACTCGTATGTTTCTACGAGGGCCAGCTATGAATGTTAACAGGGACACAAGCTCTTAATCGATCAATGTCTCAACTAGGACATAATCCACGTACAGCTACAATCCTGTGAACTATCAATGTCACTACCAATGGCCGCGATCTCGAAAACTATCAATGTCAACACACGGCTACAATCCTGTGAACTGTCAATGTCACTACCACTAGGCGCGATCTTTAACTCGTATGTTTCAACGAGGGCCAGCTATGAATGTTAACAGGGACACAAGCTCTTAATCAATCAATGTCTCAACTAGGACACCATCCTCAACATGTTTATCAAAACAGGGAACGATTACTCTCTTGTAGTAAACTGTACGGAGTCTCTATTTCAACTAACTTTATTTCTTCATGTTAGATTAGAATTGGGTCTTAACAGCGTAATTACAAGTTATTCGCTCTTAGGTATATAATGTACTTAAGCAATAACATTATGGGTATGACAAAGTTATATATCTGTGTATTTAATTGGGTTGATCGCAATACATGATTTAAGTATTTACTATTGGCACATTTAGTTATATGGACAATGTACAACGTAATTTACTATGGGCTTCTATATTTGCTACACATTAACTAAACTTGATATTCACTGTGTAAGTTTTATAAATAAAGGATATAAGTTAAATTCTGTCGACATACAGGAAAATCACCAAGATATATAAAATATCAATGATTCATAGAAAAGGTTGTTAATGGTTCTAATGACTAGAAGGCATGGGGGAAAGGGAAACTGACTGAGCGTGTTATAAACATGTTTGAAAAAGTTTTGACCTCTCCTCCTAGATATTCCTCTGATGAAGCTGGGATATCTGGTTCAAGAGCTCCACCTAGTTTTACCATTCTAAAGGAACCATCACACATTGTAACTAAGGTTGGATAATTGTATTAAATAGTAATGTACTCAATACTGTATCCTTATGATAGGGCAATGTACAATATGTTTTAATCTATTCATCCTTACTCATTAAATTTCAGTATTTAAACACACAAACCTTGATTAAGCTTTTATTATCGGTAAGCCTTGTGCTGTTTTATAAAGGTATTGATTTTGAAACTAATGTTAACGATATGTATATACAGCACTAAGGATTAAAATTTTGCTTTTCCACCAAGCCTCTTGCTGTCTATGCTTTCGCTAGCTTGTTATAGAAATCAAAGTTGCAATGGGATATCAACATATCTAAAGCATTTTTTTGCGCCTTCACTGAATTGACTATAGTGAAATAAAATTCCGCATAGATTTGCCATATTTATACATTCTAGGATGGAAGACGACAAACAATGGCTGAGTATGAGAAGCAACTAATCCAAGATTATAAAAGAAGAAGTCAGCAAAATTTGACCCTGTAATGTTAACGCAATTTATTCAAAATACAATTGACGATATTAAAATGTTGTTTAAGCGCAAGATTAAAATATATCATTTAAAGAAGGCTAATTTTTTTTTTAAGTTTAACTGAAAACTATTTTTTTTATAACTGGGATCATTCTTTAATCAATTATGTACAAGCAGCGGCCTTACTTGAGTATTCTGTTTGATAAATTTGAGAAAACTCATGTTTATTTTTACCCTTGATCTATTTTTCCATCCTTAACTTTTCGTTTTCACAATCTCTATGATATAAATAGCAATATTGTTTTTTCCCTCTAGATCTTAACAACCTGATGGTGTAAATCTTTCATATACCTTAAACCTAAATTATTTGATCTAACAGAATTCACAGTATGAAATTCTAAAGATATAGCGATTAGAAAATCAGAGTTTGTGGCAACAAATCAGGTTTTTAATATCATGCACTAATATGTCAACATTGGCGATTTTCACTTGTAAAAAAAAATTATTTAAACAAATTAAGTAGTATATGTTAACTAAGTGAAGTTTAAATGTCGCAATCTTAGGACAATATACATCGTGATGTTTGTGTTTATATAGTAATTGAGTATTTGCCACAAACGAAAACTTTCTGACAACCTGATGGTGCAAACCTTTTATATTTCAAACTTAGCTTATTTGATTTAACAGAATTCATAGTTTGAAATATCTAAGGTCGACAACATCGGGTTGCAAAGACATAAGGATAAGAGTTTGTGACAAAGACTCAATTCCTTTGAAAAGATTTTTGACTCTGTTTTCCCATGGTGTAAATGGCGTAAATTTCCCTACAATCGAATCAGCCAAATTTTTATGGATTTAAAAATCAGCATATTAAATGAAGTGAATTTAAGGTGAGCTGTGTCTATCAACAGCTTTAACAATCATAACTAGAATTTTTAATTATGCGTCCTTCTTATACTACATTAACAGTTCCTTCAAAGAGCAATATAAATATTAGAAACTGGTGCGTGAATTGTATATATAAATATTAGAAACTGGTCCATGAATTGTAAATATAAATATTAGAAACTGGTCTATGAATTGTAAATACTAAATACACATATTAAAAACTAGTTCATGAATTGTAAATATAAATATTAGGAACTGGTGCATGAATTGTAAATATAAATATTAGAAACTGGTTCATGAATTGTAAATATAAATATTAGAAACTGGTGTATGAATTGTAAATATAAATATTAGGAACTGGTGCATGAATTGTAAATATAAATATTAGAAACTGGTGCATGAATTATAAATATAAATATTAGAAACTGGTTCATGAATTGTAAATATAAATATTAGAAACTGGTGCTTGAATTGTAAATATAAATATTAGATACTGGTCCATGAATTATAAATATAATTATTAGAAACTGGTCCATGAATTATAAATATAAATATTAGGAACGGGTCCATGAATTGTAAATATAAGTATTAGAAACTGGTTCATGAATTGTAAATATAAATATTAGAAACTGGTCCATGAATTATAAATATAAATATTAGAAACTGGTCCATGAATTGTAAATATAAATATTAGAAACTGGTGCATGAATTGTAAATATAAATATTAGAAACTGGTGCTTGAATTGTAAATATAAATATTAGAAACTGGTCCATAAATTGTAAATAAAAACTGGTCCATGAATTGTAAATATAAATATTAGAAACTGTTCCATGTATTGTAAATTTTTATTAAGAAATTAGAATATATATTTGGAATTGAGAAAGTAAACAATAATTATCAATATTTTCTATCCATCAATCTTTTTGATATGTATTGTAAAGGTAACATCTTGATAAGCTTCAGGACAGCAACTGTAATATACTTCATTTCTAGCTGCTGAGACTGCAATCATCTCCCATTTCTCGTTGCTGATATATGAACTTAAATCCCCTGAATCTCCAGCCTTGTCAAGATTAATGAACTCCCCACTGTAAGTCCAACTTCCAAATTTCATATTGCAGCGCTGCTCAGTTGAAGTTTTATCAACCTTGCAGGTTGATTTGAATATTCTTGGTGGAAAGTACAAACAATTCCCATCGGATGAGACAACCACCATGGTCTGGTAAGTTTCATCAACTTGATAATTTGCGTTGTTATACAGCATGATATCTGGAGTCCATATCAGGGAGGTAGGTAGACGGATATCCTTAATACCACCATACTCGGATGCGTTCCAACGAAGATTCTCATCAGTCCATTCTAGTTTTAACCAAGCATTTGTTGTGAGCACACCCTTTTCCTCATCCAAGTCAATTAGTTGTTGGAGTGTGAGACCTATATTTACTCCAACAGCAAGAGATTCGTTAACAACAGGTCTTTCCAGCTTATTATAATACTTGAATAGATCTTGCAATAGTCTTCTTTCATTCTTCCCACACTCCACAGTGTAAGGAAGAAGAAGAATCCCAAAGATTAGAGCCGATGTTGGCCACCACATTTCGAGCTTGATACATATACAAGCTTCGTCAGCTACAATAGTTGAGTATCTATGATATACACTTTATATACTATTCAGAAGAATTGAGATGAACTGAAAAGAAATTTTAAATGATTTCAATAGGCACTAATTGAGTGAATCGCATAAATTGGGGAGTATAGGGATGTAGATCTAAGGTTTCCACTCAAGTCGATTTTACTTAAGCGAAACTGCAGAAGTCCTAACGCGCAAGTGAATTTTATTGCGGTCAATAATTAGGAATATTTTAAAATCTGCATAAACTAAATTCTGTCCATTTTCAATCTTTTATCTGCTGCATACATTTGTAAGTTACAATTCACACTTTTTACAATGCTGTTGCTCGCAGTAGAGATGTCAACGATAGTGTAACGTAACGTAAAATGTACGTTTTTGTACGTTACGTTACAATAATGTGTAACGTTTGGATATATTCTTTATAACGTGAACGCTAAATGTTAACGTTATAGGAGATCATACCTAACGTTAACGTTAAACGATAACGTTAGAGGAACATACCCCCAACGTTAGCGTTTTGTGGAAATGTAACGTTATTTTTCTAATATCTACAACCTTTTTTACCATAACGTAAAGAAATGTTTTGTTTCTAAGGGGAGCTTGAAAGTCTAACGTTTGAAAAATTAATTGTGATATGATTGAATATCGTAACGAAAGGATTTCTATTTCAAAGTTCAACTTATAAAAAGTGTAACGTTGTATAACTGAAAAATGCGTTACTGTTTATGAAAACGTTTTGAAACGTTTTCCCTTATAGTATAATGAAAAATTCAACGTTGCAGAAATGGGTTATTATTTTAATAATCAGGAAACGAAAGTTTTTTTACAGAGTAGAATTCAAATAATGTAACATATAACAATTAAAAAAATGTAATTCTGTAAATCAAAATGTTTCATAACTTTTCTCTGAATAGTAAATTGATTAGTCTAACGTTAGATATATGTCTGATGAAAATGTTGTTCATAAAACGTTAGACTATGAGGGCTGAGTTTTAATTTCAAAAGTGTAACAATAATGCTGTCAATCAAAACATTTCAAAACGTCTCTAATATATCAATGTAAGAGATTCGACTGATGATTATAAGAGCAAAGACTTATGATTTTTCATTTCAAGTTTAAAGAAAATGAGTTTATGCCAAAAACTCTAATTTTCATTTAATATATCTTTGCAACCCGATGTCGTAGACCATTAATATTGAAATATACAAGGTTTAAACCATCGGGTTGGAAAATATAGGGATTAGTAAATTTGAAAAAAAAACTTTTTTTTGTAACATGATATTAGTGAAAATTCAAATCTTATAAATGTTTCTTGGACATCAAAGGTTTTTGATTTGTCATTGTTTGATGAAGCCCACTAAAACTCTGGAAAAGGAAGACGACATTAAGAAATTTTACATATGCATTTTCTGTCATAAAGAAAATGATTTACTAATTGCAAAAAATCAACTTATTAAGTGGAACGGGTCTGTGAACAAACACAATTGCTGGGTTTCATGTTTATTTGACTCCTTGAAATCATAACTTCAGTTGGCATGGTTCATGTTTTAAATAAATAAATAAATAAATATTTTATTAGGCACATAATTATACATTTACAAGGGTTAAAAACACATTGATGAATTCTATGATTATTACAGTGCCGGGAAACCCGGAGAGCTCAATATCTGGCTGTCTAGTCCAGGTCCCTGAAAACTTTAGATTTATGCGGCGTATGATACGATGAAAGTAAAAAAAATGAAGGAGAGGTGAATATTTCTGTTAGGGTTCTGTGTAGGTCCGATCATGAGAGCCCAAGTAAACCTGGAGAATAGACAACAAAGCAATATATTATAAGAAGGTATTGTACTTAGACCCTGGGTACAAGCAAACTAAACAGTGCATAAATAACAGTTACAATCCATGCTATAGCTTTCATCAAGTTTGTGTAGAAAATAAGATTTTAAATTACTGGAAAACGTTGAGCTCTTAACAATGCTATTTTTAAACACTGGTTTAAATTTATTCCATAAATTCGGAAAATAAAAAAGAGGATGTGATTTTAAATACTGGTACTTTAATCGTGGAATTGCAAAGTCTTCGCCATTTCTTAGCATATATTGGGGGTCTGTATCCCTGTTCAAGCTCCATGAGTTATTAAATGATGATGGCAGACGATTTAACCTATATTCGTACATAAAACAAAGGGCATTTACTTGTATTAGATCTTGGAAAGGGACTATGGCAGTTTTTAAAAAAAGTGGGGCAGTGTGAGAATTATAACTCTTATTGCAGACTAGACGTACAGATTTTTTTTGTAGGGTCTGAACTCTAATAAGATCCTTTTTAGAAAGAAGAGAAAAGATGTTACTGCAATAATTAAGATGGGAGTGAATGTGCGCAAAATAAATAAGCTTAAGACAACTCATATCAAGTAAATTTTTAACCTGGCTTAGACAATAGATAGACCTTGAGATTTTTGAACAGATAGAGTTAACATGGGAGCGTAGTTTAAGTTTTTCGTCTAAAAGAACCCCAAGAACCCGTACAGACTTTTCTTCAGAAGTGTCGGAGATTCGCTGGATTTTAGAAATT